GATTCTGCAAAGCTGTTTCAAATGACCACATCCAAATTGTACAAATTGTTCTTCTCAAAACTAGTTATATGAACATTATTTAAAGTTGAAACATCATTTAATGAACAGTTTCCAGCCAGTGGAACTTAAACCATTTCATGGCTTTTGTTTGCAGGAAATTAAACTGTAAGGAATATGCATTAACTAAAGTAAACAGTGGCAGCAGCACAGGAAGTATTTTGAGAAATTAGTCTAACCAAGAGGGAACTTCAAAAGGCAACAGTACCTGCTCCTCTCAACATAGAAATATGGTAAGTAAATAAAGCCGCCACAAAACACAAGCTCTACAGCGACTCTTTTCATGCATTTCTCTCAAAGTGTAAGCTTTCATAAAATCCATAATTTCCTGAGAGCCTTTAAATGAAATGACTGCACAGACTTTCAAAGAACAAAGCATTTGGAGGGTCTCTAAAAGGAGCATCATAAAAGAACTGAGATAAGTCTGACTATATACTAACTAAAAACTAATCCAAAAAAGCATTAAAAATTCCTAAGAGAAAATTTATATTACACAGTTTATCTAAAACCAATATCACACACATGCATTTAACCACTTGCTTGTCTAGCCAATCAAAAGCCCCAATTTTCCTTGTTCAAAATCTGTAAAATTCTTTCTGATATATTTCCTCTATTAAGTGAACACTGTTTTTCAGAAGCCAGCAAGGTTTCTAACTTGTCTGTTAAGATTTTAAATCACCATCAGACTGGGAAGTCATTTAGAAGCTTGAACTGCAGTGGCAAATTGATGATGCTCAACAATACCTCTGATTTCTAACTAATGATCATATAGAGGTTGCATAACTCTTGAGCCAACATCTCAAAATGGTTCGGAATGCATGAAGATGAACAGGTTGGTCTTAATCCAAGCATACTAAAGGGGCTTGGAATGTATAAGGCTGGGCAAATTTAGCCTTAATCCAGTCAAGGTGGAAGTATTACAGGTAAAACAATCAATTAGACTGGATGGAGAAATGCATGTGGCCTAAAGCTTACATGTAGGAAGTTTGACATGTTCTTGGACTTGGCCATAATTGAGGAGGCCAGGTGTGTTTTTAACATTGTAGGCTACACGTGACTCAATCTAGAGTCACGTGTAGCCTTAGTTAAGCTTGCCTTAGTTATTTATGACTGGGTGACATCCAGACTGGACTACTGTAATGTGCACTATTGTCTTAAGATAGTTTGGGAATTTCATATGGCGCAGAATGCAGGTGCCCCATTTTGCTAATGGCTGAGTGGTCAGTTCATGTGACATTGATATAGTTGTATCATTGCTGGTTGCTAGTGTGCTTCTGAGACTAATTTAATATGCAGAATTTAAAGTCTTAAATCATTTGGGCCACTCATGTCAAGTTACTGACACTTGTAGGTTATCATAAGCAGAGCCTCTTGTCTATTATCCATTGCCAATAGCAGGTAGGTTGATGGGTTTACAGCTCTTCTTATGTTCTTAATGATTTTAGATTAAAATTAATAACCTAGTTTACATGGTGTGGGTAGAAATGGCATCTTTCAAGATATTTGTATGGACAGTTAATAGGAGTTAAAAAAAATAAGAGTTCTGTTGTAGAGTCAGTCTTTCTGTTCCAATGACAATTAGTTTAACTGGTGTTGCCAGACATCCTATCCCTTTTATTGGGAAGAATGGAGTTCAAAAAATGTGATCAAAGGACTCTACAAGGAAACAAGCTGTCATCTAGACAGACTTATATTAAATCTGGCAATAACAAAGTATCCTTAAATGGAAAGCCCAGTTCAGGTTTCCACGCATTCATTTTTCAAAAGCAAAGGCAAGACTCTCCACTGACTTCTGGATGAGATGTCAAAATTTGCATTTCAGCTAAAATGATTTGAGAAGGTCAGCATATTGCATCCCATAGGTATAAAGCTCAGAGTCCAATGAGAAGGTATACTGTTTCCCACATCAAAAACATGATCTCTGACAAATGACAGAAGAAACCATGGGGGATCTTTTCTCACTACAAGGGAATCATGAAAACCTCTTGGTCCAGTTGATTGTTTCTTTCTTCTTATAGTAGAAACAATCTAGAAAAAATCTTTACCTTTGGCCTATGTTGGCTTTGACCGTTATCACTCCAATCATAGGTTGGCTTATAGCTGGAATTTATTAACTCTATCAAAGGAAAGAATGTGATTGATTCGTATAATCTTGCAAGGTTAAAAACTTCAGAGGTGTTCTTACAGAGGCCTTTTAGATCTAGAGATGAAGCTTTCCAAAGTATTCACGTGACTTTTATATGACAACACAAAGAATCATTTTACATAAATGAGCCCATTTTTGCCAGGCATACCACAAAGAATTTTTCATTCCTGTTGTGCACTAGCTTTTGAAAGTTCGCAATGACAGATAGCTTTCACAGCTATCTTTATTCATACTTTAGATATGATGACTGAAAGTGAATTTGCAAGTAACATTGTTGCCACCAAAGAATTAAGTGATGTGGGTGTTAATAATACCTTCCTTTTCAGTAGCTTCCTAACAAGCCACATGGTCATTACAAGTGGCCTTTTGTAACCACAGTTTTAACTATCCATAGTTTGAAACTGTTTTCTAAATATTCAAAACACACTTTGATTTTGCCATTTTATATAAATGACACCATTTTACAATTGCATTATATGTGATGGGACTTGGACATCCATGGATTTTTATGTTCCCAGTGGGTCTTGGAATCAAACCCCAGAAGAGACTAGAAACCCATTGTTCAAACCTGTAGATTTCCCAGTTCATCTTCTTCCTCCTCCAAATGGCCCTTCTGTCCGAGATACAACATTCAGAAATGAAAGATTGCGGCATCCTGTTTCTGGAATTTTCTCCCCAAAAATCTTCACTAGATGCCATGACTGCCTTCCTAGCATCAAGCAGACACATTTTCACTTCTCCAAGTGTTTTTATTACTTTTTTTGTCTTAAATCTAAATCTAATCTTGGTTAATATATTTTATTTTATTTTAGTTTGCTTTCTAAACTGAAGTAAGGATCAGGATACAAGAACTCCTCAGAGAGTGCTGTGCAACCATGGGGAAACAATACATGTCATTATTAAAATTATTTTTTTTCTAGAATGGAAGGGATCTTTCAACCACTTTAGGAATCATTGTAAAACAGGCTTCCAAAACTTCTGACCTACAAATAGATGAATGTCAACATACCAGGGGCAAAATAAATGTGCCAGACAGGAACTTAAAAAATCAAGGGATATTGTCTGCTGCCTGGAAGATCAATAATGTGGGGTCGCATTTGAGTTAGTGATCTACTATAAAAGAAATAATAATGTGTATGAAAAGTCAAGAAAAATGCAAGATGGTAAGCTGGCTTACTCTTTGAAAAAAAAAAACCTTGGAAGGCAACTAATCAGTATTTATTCTGGATACTCTGGCGGAAAAAATCACACAGGTCCTGTCTTTCAATCAGTAATAAAGGGTTTCTTTTGTTCAGACAATTACAGGAAGGTGGAATATTTTGAAAACCTGGAAGCTCCAAGATGTACCTATGCCATCTTGATTAAACATATGGAACACATAGTAAATGAAAAGCCAAGTAGAGTCCAAGTTGAGTAATCAAAACACCCAAGTTGAGAGGGGTTAACATGCAAGGATCAGCTTTGAACTTTGAAGTTCTCTAGTCTTCATTTTTCCTAATTAAGATGAGATTTAATAACCAAACCACTGTACAAACTATGAACTTAAACTCAAAGTTGTGTTTCTAATTTGGTTGGGAATTCTTAAGAGATTCCAAAGAATAAGCACCCCCATGGGGGAACAGTTCTCTAGTGAAATGTTTCACCTATGAACACACTTTTAAATTTTTCATTCTTTCATGTGTTTGCAGATTACATCTACAACCATAATGAGAGAAATGTATGTTGATAGAAGTCTTATTAATTACCTAAATCGTGAGAATGGGTTTTATAGGGGCAGATATCACAAAAATAATGCATAAAATGTGGAAATTCTGTAAAGCTATCTCTCCTTTATATTTTGCAATAGTTAATTATGCTGATGAAGGACATGTGGGAATTAATATAATAGTCACAACCCACATTTACACAAAAGATAGTGTCACTTCATTCCCATATTTTGGGATTGACATTTTCAAAACTGGAGTAATTAAAATTAAGATATTAAGAAGGAATATTTAAAATTAAAATTTCTGCCTGCTTGCCTGCCTGCCTGCCTGCCTGCCTGCCTTCCTCCTTCCTTCCTTCCTTCCTTCCTTCCTTCCTTCCTTCCTTCCTTCCTTCCTTCCTTCCTTCCTTCCTTCCCATGTCTTCCCTTTTCCATGTCCAAATACAACATGAAAGTCTCAACCATAGTTTCTCCTTTCACGTGAATTGCAGAACTATTGCAACCAGCTTTGGAACTCTGAACAGGTTAGGGTTGAAAAAAATGTCTGAAGAGTTTTAAGAGTCTATTTTCTTTCCCTTACTCTGTGGCTCTTTTTGTTTTTGTTTTTGTCTTTTTTTAATTGTTTTTCTTTTTTTTTAACTTATGTCACGGAAAACTCAATAAAATTTTTTTTTAAAAAAAAGAGTCTATCTTGTTCCTAAGCAGCCAAGGTTCACATGAAATAGAAAACGATAGTTAATTGGAGATTGCACTCATGATTACTATGAAAGGATAAGAAAAGGGCTCTGTATATATGAAGGAAGCCTTGGTTGCATCTCAGTTTATCAAGCAAAGGTATAGTAATCTAAACTGGTTACATTTCAATGCCATCGTAGTAAAAAAAATAGTGTATGCTTGCAATTTCCTACAAGATGGTTATGGAATGTCTCTGGCATATAATCTAGCAATCATATTTTTAAATAAAGTGTTTTTTTAAAGCATGACTTATTGAGCAGTGATATATAATTTTTTAGTTTGAATTCCCCCATCTCCTGCAGATTATGCAGATAGCTATAGATTTGTTGTACAATAGGTAATGAATCACAGACTTACTTTGTTCATGTGGATCTGCTGTTGGTACTGTTTTTGCTTCTCCAGAAACTGTTGATGCTGTTGTTGAATTACTAGTTGAGCCAAGGTACTCTGTGGCAGTGGAGCTGACTGAGTTCGATTTAGAGGCCGATGTCGAGGCAATTTATGTGCAACTCTTAGGCTGGGTGAGACTCTTTCTTTTGTTGCCAGTGGTGACTGAGGATGAAGAGGGACTGTACCTGAAAGCCAATGACACTCCACTCATCAAATATACAGACAGTACTATTAGGAAAATTATAAGACATTTTATTGGAGGGGGGAGACCATGGGGACATATGTGCATTGAAGGAGAGCCCTAAGAATTCCAGAGTGGGCATGTCTGAGCTTTATGGCTCTTCTATAACTAGGTATTTTCCGACATCAATGATGGTTATCTTTGCTTATATTCTGACATTCAGAATGAAAAGTACATACTAATTAGTGGACTTACTCTAAATGTTTCCTTTAGCAATAAGAGAACCAACCCTATATGCTTCAGATCCAGTCTATCTTTGAGATCACATCTCTTTCTATAAACTGATGCAGGCCCTAAGATCTTCTGGGGAAGCCCTTCTCTCAGTCCCACCTCTGTCTCAAGTATGGTTGGTGGGGACGAGAGGGGGGGGGGCTTCTCAGCGGTGGCTCCCGGCTTTGGAATGCCCTCCCCCCAAAAAATTAGGGTAGCCCCCACCCTCCAGGTTTTTTGTAAACAGCTGAAAACATGGCTTTTTACACAAGTTTTTGACCATGATTAGGGATTATGAATCACTATATTTGTAAACTTGGTAGGTGGTCACTGTTGTACTTTATGAGGACAAATATCGCTCATAGCCACTAGTTTACAGCTTGCTCAGGTTTTAATTGATAGGGGTTTTATTGTTGTTTTATGTGTAATGGGGTTATTATTATTGTTATTAATTTAACCTTTTATATTTTGTTGTATGTGTATTGTGTGGCACTACTGAGTGCATCCTGTGAACCGCCCCAGTCCCTCCGGAGAGATGGTGGTGGGATAAAAATAAAGTTATAAATAATAATAATAATAATAATAATAATAATTATTATTATTATTATTATTATTATTATTATATCAGTTGAAAGCAGAAACACAGTGAATAGATTTGCACCTAGCATCTCCACCTAAAAGGATCAGTTATCCCGAGATGTTAAAGATTGTGTAAGATGGATAAAGTATTCTTGTGTGGAATAAAGTCCAGTCCTAGCCTTCCATAACTTTCAGGAAATGCACTTCCATGTAAGTGAAAAATATTACTCTGGACTAGGAATAGAATGATTATGTAAAAATAAGAAACCCTAAAAGCATTTCCTGCATAAAATACTTATATAAGCAGAAATATACTGCACAAAAAGTCTTTATTTGCAGAAAGAATGCAACTTTGCATTAATAGGGCTCAAGAATTGTTTTCTGTTCATTTTTTGAAGACTGTTTCACAAGGGGAAGACAACAGCTAAAATTATTGTTGGTTTGTTTTAGAATGAAATTAGAAAAGAATTACAACTCCACTCTAAAGAAACTGATCTTTACCTGTACCCAGAAGCTTTTGCTGCCTCATTTGTTCCTTCAATAACAAATGCTGGAGAAGGGCCTGATGACTGCTGTTTGGCTTCCCTTCTAGGATGACAGGCTGAGGGGCTGAAGGCGACATGCTTCCCCTGTACTGCCCAGGCAAGATCACTCCTTGCCTGATTGCTTGGGTCTCACATTTCTGTTTTTCTCTGAATGGTGAAGATGCCTTCACAAACAAACAAGCAAAAAAACAAAATCATTCCAAAAACTAAAGGCTGAAACCTATTTATCAAATTACTTAGGAATATTTCATGATCACAAATTAAGGTTGGACCCAGGAAAGGTTTTTTTCCCCTTTGTGAAGTGATTCTGAAGTTGTCCTCTGAGTCTATTCCTCTTGGAAAATAGACTTCTCTATTTTCTAAAATTCTGGGTTAAATCAGGCAGAGAAGCAGGAAAAATGAAGAAATAATCCCTCATAGAAACAAAACTTTTTTTGATTTGGATGCAATGAGATGGCATATTCCCCTTCTAATGTCTCTCAGGATCCAAGGCAAATCTGTTGCCTCTAACCATTTCTCGCTCCTGCTCCAGAATAATCTTTCTTGTTGCTGCCATTAAGGAGGATGAGGAAGTCAAATAAAATTTGGAAGTTGCTTTTGTTTGGCTACCTTATTTTCTCTAGTGCTTTTCTTATGTTCTTGAAGTTTCAAAAAGTGCTACATTATATGACCCGTTTTCCATTTGTGGTGGGCAAAGGGTCCCTTCTGAACCAAAAGAAGAGAAAGGCACTGATCTATCACCAAACAGGACTCTTGAAAAATGTCCACAACAGTAGAGTGGTTTTGCTGTACCCTTGTGGCTGAAGGATTCAGATTGCTCACCTTCTCATGCATACAAAGGTTATAATATTTTCAGTAGCTAGAGCATAAATTTTCAAAATTTGAATACATTCAAGTTCAATAATAAAAATACGGAATGATTTATTGATGTAATGTATTTCTGGAAAGAAAAATCCTTTCTAGCACTTATGAGTAGAGGAGCAAGTATTTTTACAAGTTGGATGAAAACAGCATATTTTCACCACATTTCCAAAATTAATAAAGGAGATGAACTAGAGTGGCAGAACTCAAATGTAGATGGAGTAAATTCGTATTAAATTTTTTTGCCAAGTGCACATTCTCCCAAAACTTTTCTAATTACTCCTTACTTACAGAAGTATGTGAAATGACAATATGTTCACAGAAATAATGAATAAATGATATTTGAGGAAAATGTAGAATATCATTGAGAAGGGTAACATCAGCAACAAAATATGCAGTCAAAGTGAAAATCATTAAGTGCATACCAGCTAATTCATTATTTTATTTTGGAGCGGATGTTTAAAACAGAGTGCAGGATTTATAATTTTGGATGGAAAATCACTGTATCATAGGTTCATTCATATACTTTTTCATTCATAAAATATTACTCGTATTTACTTGAGTCCAATGTGCCATCAAATCTAATGTGCACCTAAATTTTCAAAATCCTGGAACCAAAAAACTATTTGCTGGTGAATGCAATGCACAGTAACAAAAAGCACCCTCTTTGTCATTTGGCTAAAGAAGATGTGCATTCCAGTGGAACTGTTGCAACAGAGGGGTTGTCCTTCCCCAGTAGCCAGTCCCAGTTTGAAACCTGGCTGCAGACCTTTGGACCAGCTGAAGTTTCTGAACACTTTAAAAGTCGGCTCCATGTAAAGTGCGGTACAGTAAACAAGACAGGATGTAACTAAGGCATGTACCACCATGGCCGGATCCTACTTCTCAAGGAACAAGATCAAAGGACCTCCTGGTCACCACAAGTAAATTTAGGAAGACCCCAAACTGCAAACCTGGGTCTTGGGGGGGGGGGTATAATCCCATTGAGCAGAGGCTGGATCCCTGTACTTTAATCTGCCTTCCAATTGACCAGGAGTACTTCTGTCTTGTCTAGATTAAGTTTCAGTTTGTTTGCCCTTATTCAATCTTTTGATTTATTTTATTCTATAATAACATTGTCTTTGTGTTATGTGCATATAAGAAATAAATGAATTTGATGTTTAGACCTTGATTTCATCTCTAATATATCTATAAAAATACACGTATTACAAAATCCAAAAATAACAGAAATCCAAAACTTCTGGTCTTAAACATTTCAGATCATGGATGTTCAAGTTGTAGATCTTAATTCATTTGCAAAGCTAATGGAAACACTCTTTAAACCATGAACTTACACTGAGTGGTGGTTGTACTGCTGGAAGTCCTAAAGTGATGTTTGGCAAAGAAGGAGATGTGTAGAGACTCAACAAATTCATTGATTCTTCATTGATAAGAACATGTTGCTGTGGAACCAAATGCTGTGGAAAATATAAAACAAAACAAAGTAAAATGGTCACATGTTGACTAACCAAGTTGATCCCCTGAATTGGGAAATTTAAATGAAATTATTTTTCTTGCTGATCATTCATGTTTGCATGCACCTTGCTAACATTCTTCTTGAAGAGAAAATGGCATAATAATGATTAAAATATGATTTGTGCATTATAGTTCTTAAATGAGAACATAAGAGTAATTTCTGGGTATTATACGCTGGTTGATGAGTCATAAAGGGTAAACTTGTCTTTGTATTTTCTAAAATGGTGGCTTACAAAGAAATGTGGCTTCTACAAAATTTTCTTCACTTTGCAACCCCTTTAAATATTCAACATGCAACACTGTGTTACTATAACATATGTAAATGAATCCCTAGTCATTCTTACTTATCTCCATGTTTCAAAAATGTTGAAAATTAATGTACTAAAATGTTATAATATTTCAGAGTAATTTGTAAAATGTATGAGGGTGCATGCACTGTTATGGTATTTATGATCATATCCTTTATAACTGGCTGGAGATTGTGGCCCTTTCCAAATATAATGGCAGAATTACTTTTGCCCTTTTCTTTGCTAACATTCATGTTCTTCAACATGTGGTCTACTACAGTTTCTTAAATTACATCTCTCTTTTTCTGTTTTTTAACTGTTGCCTCCCTTCCAGACCTCTCCACACAATAAGAGCTACAAAAGGTCTTATTAGACTTTGGAACTCTGGCATGATATGGTCCTCAAGGGAACAACATCCTTGAAAAAGAATACCCTGTGTAACAGTATGACACAGTGACTGCTTTCTTCCCAAACAAAAAGCATATGGGACTCCAATAATAGACCACCTCCATGCGGGATCTGTGCACTCAGGCTTTGACTAAAATAAATATAATAACTTGTCAAGCATGTTGTGGGGAGCTGTAGATTTTCCTCTTGACAAACCTGGGATATCAATTAACGCTGGAAAATACCTCAGGTTAATACAATGCAACCTCAGACTGTCACTAAAGAGTTGGGCAGCACAAAAACACAGGATGTTATTCCAAAACATAACCTTCCCATATAGTTTGTTTGGAGACTAAACCTATCACTGACATAATAACAGAGCAGTCTATAGATGTCATCCATCCTCAACCCCAAAACTATGCTAAACTGAAAAGGAAACACACAAAATCAAGGTTTAGCATTTATGTTACAGGAAGCTTTGGATTACTTCTATATTTTACTGACATTCTATTGGACTATAATTGATTTGATAAAAAATAAACAGAATTCAATATTTTCAATACATGAGCAACATCAACATTATCATTATCATCATCATCATCATCTCCTATTGTGTCTTACTACTAAGGACAATGGGCTAAATCCAGTTGTTATTCCCAAGCAGAGTAGATTCATTAATGTTTACTTGCAAAATTCTCACTATTTTAAGGGTCTACTATACTTGTAACAACTGGACTTGCCTTATTGAGATTAAAAACTGAATTTGTCTCATTGACCAGGCACTAAAAATAAAACATCTATAATAGCATATATAAGAATAGTAATTTGCTTGGGTTTTTTTTTGGCTTGGTCCTCTATTATTGTATCATTGACATAAAGACATATAGATGAATATGCATTTTAAAGTCGATAATTAAAAAGGATCAATTCATAGTCATACACACACACATTTAAGGAATTTGAGCAATTGAGGATGGCAAAAACATTTTGACAATTCATTTATAAAATTCTATCTGTTAACCACTCCAATAAATATTAACTTCATCCTTCTGTGATAGACAATAACATTGTCAGAAGGTTGCTTTTCTAGACAAAGGCAATTTATATCCTATATGGATCCAGACATCTTCTATCAAGTATATCATTATAATTGACATTCATCTAAGGCTTCTTCCACACAGCTGAATAATATCCCACATTATCAGTTTTGAACTGGAATGTATGGCAGTGTGGACTCTGATATGCCAGTTCAAAGCAGATATTATGGATTTTTTTGCCTTGGTATTCTGGGTTATATGGCTGTGTGGAAGGACCCCTAGACAGTATTCTAAATTGCCATTTTGGATACTGCTGTTACTTTGAGTAATCGAAAAAGGAAGAATCTGAAACATTTTTCTAACTTGTTTACAATGTTCTGTGGTTTTAATCATTCCCTATATATCTATTTATCTAACTTAGTATATGCCAACTTTCTTCCATCTGGAATTCAAGGTAGCATATATGGAACTCCAAGGTGGTCTCCTCACCAAAGAAAGATAACTCACAGAAACTAGCTTCAGCATTCAAAACAACTAACCTCTTTAATGCTGATAGCGTTTTAATATTAGGAATGAGAAAATAATGATTAAAGACATTAAATGTAGGTTTTAAAGCCAGCAAATAATTTAACTGAGATGTTTAAAAATGCATAACTGGTTCTTTTTCAGTGTAGCCAGTAAGAGTCACTGTTGCTGCTGCCAATAATGCTCCTTAGCAGCTAATCTGAAATACATCAAGGAAGATCACTGTCCTATTGTAGGAATGGAAAGGCAAGTTCAACCATCTTGTTGACCCATCGGGTGCCAAAGAGTTGTTTTGATGGACAAAGTAGTTTTGAAGAAGCAATGTGCTCTGAGAAAGATATACCGTATTTTCCGGTATAAGATGACTGGGCATATAAGGCGACCTCCAACTTTTCCAGTTAAAATACAGTTTGGGATATACTCACCGCATAAGACTACCCCTCTTCCAATGCACACCAAATAAAAATTTTAAGAGACATCACATTTAGTTTCAATATGGTAATTTTCCTATTACCGTACCTCCTTCTCTGCCTCTCAGATCTCGCACATGCGCACCTGTGCAGCTTCACTGCAGTCCTCAGGAGTGAGATCTGAGAGAAGGAGGCCAGACAGGTGAAAGAGGTGTGTTTTCCTGGTCACAGCACCACCCTATTACTTTTTTCCATACCCCGGGCATCCCAGACACCTGCAGATTGCTCTGCCCTTCACTTCACTTAAGTCACTTCTTTCCATGAATCCTGGCAAGTGGATTTCCTTTTACTGTACTTGTACAGTGCTGCCCTTGCTGCTTTCATAAGGTCGCTACATATGGCGGGGATGTGGCCACAGCCATTTTTGAGCTCCCTCCACCATATGTGGGGACCGCAGATTATCCAGTCCAGCATTCAAGTTTCAGCACCCACTCTATAAGATGACACCTGGCATATAAGTCAACCCCTGACTTTTGAGAAGATTTTCCTGGGTTAAAAAGTAGTCTTATATACCAGAAAATACAGTAACTGGTTGGGGAAGAATTTCAGATGAATTCTTCCCCAACTACTTCACACTTGGAACTGTATAGCCTGCAAGGCTTCATGAAGCTCTCTGTGAAGTCCAGTACAATCCTATAAATCCCCACCAGTGTAATTTTCAAAATTGATTCAAATAAAACCAGAACAATTCAAAGTACCTTGCAATATGATTTTCAGATTGAACTACCTTTCTTCCAGCCTTACTTTCTTTCAAGTGACAACTGCACATACCTATTCAAATTGGAAAATGATATAAAATGATGTCATCAGAGCTATTATGATATAACAAGAGAGTAATTCAGCCTGGGTTATGACATGTGAGGAGAAGAGAACTGAAAAAACCCTGTTATTAGAAACACTGTGTTTGAAGAAGAATGGATTTGATAGCTAAAGTTTGTACACCAGCAGCTACTGTGTGTATGAATATTCGCCTTATTGTCTAGTTACCCTTAAACCATCAAAGGAGAGTCTACTGGAATCCAGTGTTCTGTCTTTGGAAAAATGTTTCAACCCACAGGACCACACATTAACTATCAAGTAACTACAGACAGAGTGAAATTTCTAAGTGGAACCACAAATGGAAAAAAGTGGTTTCAGCTCTTAAGATCCCTGCCAGTGAGCTGTAAGTGTGTTCTGGCATTTTGAACTCCAATTTCAAAATACCATTAGAGGCACCTTTCAGTGCTCATGCCAGGAATGCAACAACTTATGCTTGACAATGGCAAGAGAAAAGAGTAGTGGCTACATGAACAGGCAGCATTTTGACTCCCCCAGGGACATAATTTATTTTTGGTTTTGTCAGTTTTGCATATTTCAAAATATGAATACCCTGTATATTCATGTATAAGTCTAACTATGTTAACCAAAAAATCAAATGCAAAAATCTGGCACAAAGTATTGAGGGGTCGGTCAGTGTGAGTACTATGCCTTAACTGTGACCAAAGAAGGAACCACCAAAATGTTTATCATCAGATATTAGACAAGATGCATATCATACAAAGAAATTTTAAAAATAATGTGAATACATGTAAAAGTGTACACAGACATGGGAACCTTGAAAGCAGCAAAAGTGTTTTGATAATCATAAATTACTGATTATCACAATCTCCTCTAGACAGTTCATCAAAATAGTGAGATTGCCACTGCCACCCAATAATTTTTCAAGAGTAAAGCATTATTTAAAGATGATAGCTACTAATTAAAACACTCAGTATACAACTAACATGGCCGGGCAGTTCAAAATACAGTGTGTAGTATCATTTTTCTAATGGAAATTTTCTTTTTGTATCAGGAGCAACTTGAGAAACTGCAAGTCACGTCTGGTGTGAGAGAACTGGCTGTCTGCAAGGACATTACTCAGAAGACACCAGGATGTTTTGATATTTTACCATCCTTGTGGGAGGCTTCTCTCATGTCCCTGACAGAGGGAGCTCGATCTGCTCCCCCAGATCGAACCACTGACTTGTTGGTCAGCAGTCCTGCCAGCACAAGAGTTTAACCCATTGCACCATTGGGGGCTTCTTTAAGAGAGATGAGGTGATGATGGTGATGCATTTCTAGCAATTACTAACAATGGTCTAGGCTAGAGTTTTATCCATATAAAACATTAAATCAGTGTTGTAAAACAATGCTGAGTCCTCACACAAAGAAATGAAAGAGTTTTCTTTCTTTTCTTTTCTTTCTTTCTGAACTCCAA